ACCGTGGGTCAGTTATATTTTTACTTTGAAGATTTTTGTTTATGAATTAGGAAAGAGCAGTCACTTTTGTAGCATTTTCTCTATGTGTTATTGCATGATTTCCAGTTTTTGTTCCTTTTTTATTTGTGAGATAGTTTTCATAGGTCTTAACGTTTTTTTCCCCCAAGTGTTTCCATCTTAAGTTGTTCTAGGTGGCACCAGGGTTGTTTCTTTGTATACATTAGCATTAAAGATGATGAGAGGCAAGCTATAGCGAAAGACTAAGTTAGATTCCTCTGTAGTCAAATAGTTGCCCACTTCCTTCTTCCTCAGACTTAACCGCAGATTCAACCAATACTGCAAATAAGATGTAAGCAGTTTTCTTCAGCTGTTTCATGAACTTTTACCACTAGATGGTGATGGAGGACTAGGGGTATTCTGAATTGTGTATCTACCAGATGCTTGGATTACATTGAATTTTGAAAATGTTTGACCTTAAGAAATATTTACAAGTCACACAGGTAAATCCATAGGTTATTTTAGACATCATGCTGAGCACAATCTCTTTTTACATGGCATGTGTCTAGTAACTGTTTATTTACTTTGTAGTTGGGTTCTTGTAATATTTAGTCTGGGGAAAGTTCTCTATTTACAAGGTTGAAGTCATCCCAAGTTTTATTTTATCCTTGTTTTCTTAAGTTTACTTTTGCCTGGTGTATCACATTTCTCCACACTGATCATAAAATGTCCTTATGTTTAAGCTATTGTCTTTTGTGTGTGCGTGTGCACACATACACATTATTTTAGCTTAAGTACTTAATGTAAATTTATGGATTTTCCTAGTTACCTTTCCCTTAAAGCTTTAGTTGAGAAAAAAAGATACTGGAGTTCTGTTTGAAATTGGGAGTAAGGTATCATTTATGAAGTGGCATGATGAATTTAATAATTAGTACTACCTACACTGCAAGATTTTTTACAAGATCAGTTTTTTTTTTTTTTTTAAATGTAAGTTTTATGGAGAATAGAATGATTTCTTTTTGGGTATTCTCTAAATGTGTTTTCTTTCTGCATAAAAGTAAGAACTATACTATTGCTGCCTGAGAGGATCCTGAAATACTGATTGTAATCCAGAAGCCCTATCAAGATTTGTGCTTTCTTAGATTTGACATTTACAGATTATCAATTTTTAAAAAAAGAAAATCAAATACAATTCTTATTTTCTTTAATATTAATGAATAGTTATTATATGTTAACTTCTGATACTAGCATGGTATTTTATGTTATTTCTAATGATTTTATTTTATTTATGTAAGTGATTCATTGTTCATTGGCCTAAATAATTTTTGTGACCCCAGTGTGGGCATTGTTGTAAAATGTGAACAGTGTGATCTTGACAGTTTTTCTTTCCTATGGCTTTTTAAAAAATGAAGTTAATATCTATTTTTCTTTTTATTCCTAGCCAGTCAGTATATTAAGATGCTCCATTGATTTTTTTTTTAATGTCATTTCAGAAACACATTAAATGTGCCAGGCAGTTAACAAGTACAGTTTTAGAAATGAGGTTTAAAAGATTTAAAATGAGATTTTAAATATATTTTTTAAAGACCTCTAAGAACTGAGGCCTGAGTTGGAGGATTAAATGAGATATGATGAGGGAAAGTGCTTGTTAGAGTGCAGCATGGAGCCAGATGATGCTAGTAAGGATGGTAGGATCTTAGTTTTTGGGTTCTAAGGTGACTATGCATTTAACAGCAAAACATATCCAGTAAAACTAGTATTTTCATTTTTGAGATTTTTGACTGGGAGCTTTGGAGTCACGTAGGGAAGGGAGAGGCTAGGAGGTGTTAGGTTGCTGTTGTGTTGTTATGTGCCGTTGAATTGGCCCCAACTCATAGCGACCCCTCCTTGGGTTTCCAAGGCAGTATCATTACAGAAGTAGATCCCAACCTTCCTTCCGAGGAGTGGCTGGTGGGTTTGAACCGCCAGCCTTCTGGTTAGCAGTCAAGTGCCTTAGGCACTATGCTACCAGAGCTCCTAGGAGGTGTTATACTGAAGGAGTTTTCCCAGGTGCAGTATTGTTCCTTCTTTTTATATTGCTGTTGTTATGTGCCATCAAGTTGGACCCGACTCATAGCGACCCCTCCTTGGGTTTCCGAGGTGGTATCATTACAGAAGTAGATTGCCCCATCTTCCTTCCAAGGAGTGGCTGGTGGGTTTGAACCACCAGCCTTCCGGTTAGCAGTCAGGTGCCTTAGACACTATGCTACCAGAGCCCTGGTGGCACAACGATTAAGTGCTCAGTTGCCACCTTTAGGTTGGTAGTTTGAACCTACCCAATGAGTCTGCAGGAGAAATACCTAGTCATCTCCTCTGGTAAAGATTACAGCCTAGAAAACCCTATAGGGCAATTCTACCCTATCACATGACATTGCTACAAGTTGAAAATCAACTCAACAGCACTTAAAAAAAAAAAAAAAACACTGCAGCAACACAGCTGCAACTTATCTTTGACATTGTGAGGAAGATAAAGGAATTAAACTTTCAAATTGCCTTTTCACGTAAGCTGGTTGAAAGCATAGCTGGTGCCACCCATGAGGGAGAGGGGACAGCCCATGAAAATGATCAAATGGGGTGGATATAAATTCATGCCCCTTAAATTCGTGGAATTGGAATCTTGACAGAGAGATGGATATTTTGACAGAAGTCATTAGATAATTTTTTAACCCTTTTACCATCCATCCCTCCATCAAACCTGGTGTACTTACTAGATATTTTATAGTCCCCGATTCATGCTTGTGTTCCTTTCAGTGATAGTTGCTGTTGGGATAAGTTATGCTTGCACCTTCATTTTTGCTTACTTTAGCTTTATAGAATTTAGCCAAGGGTTTACAAGAGTCTTACTGAAGTATTGTACTGTTTTATGTATGTCTTTTGTCTCTACTAGCTGGTGGCATAGTGCCTAAGGCACTTGACTTTTAACCAGAAGGCTGGCGGTTCAAACCCATCAGCCACTCCTCGGAAGGAAGGTTGGGGAATCTACTTCCGTAGTGATACTGGCTCAGAAACCCAAGGAGGGGTCGTGTCACTATGAGTCAGGTCCAACTTGATGGCACATAACAACAACAATTAACTATAAGGTGCTCTGGTGGCATAGTGGTTAAAGCATTCAGCTGCTAACCAAAAGGTTGGTGGTTTGAATCCCCCAGCCACTCTGTAGGAGAAAGATGAGGCAGTCTTCTTTTGTGAAGATTTATAACTTTGGAAACTATGAGACAGTTCTACTCTGCCCTATAGGGTTTCTATGAGTCAGAATTGACTAAATGTCAGTGGATTTGGTAGCTGACTATAATGCCCTCTTTCAGTCAGCAAACATGCCTTCATTCCTCCCTGCCCTTATCTGTGTGTATGTGCACCCACACATGTTATTTTGACTTAAGTATTTAATCTAAATTTAGATTTAGGTCCTAGTATAGTATTAGGCACAAATCAGGCACTTAATTAATCCTTGCACAGCTGGTGGCTTTGAAGAAGAGTTAAGGCCCTAAGATGTATGTTTAAGAAGGAGAAAATGTTTTTAAGATTTAAGAACTTACTTTTGTTCATCTTGACTTGGCTTGGTGATTCTTTTCATGTTAAGTTTTTATTTTCCATCTAATTGTATTCTTTTAAAAGTGGAATATAGTTTAAACTCTCTCCTGTCGAGTTGAACAGCGACCCCTCCTTGGGTTTCCGAGGAAACACTGTGGAAGTAGATTGCCCAGCCTTCCTTCTGAGGAGTGGCTGGTGGATTTGAACCACCAGCGTTCTGGTGAGCAGTCAAGTGCCTTAGGCACTATGCTACCAGAGCTCCCACAGTTTAAAGGGAAGACTATTTTGCTCTGGTAGCATAGTGCCTAAGGCACTTGACTGCTCACCAGAAGGCTGGCGGTTCAAACCCACCAGCCACTCCTCGGAAGGAAGGTTGGGCAATCCTACTTCCGTAGTGATACTGCCTCGGAAACCCAAGGAGGGGTCGCTATGAGTCGGGGCCGACTCGACGGCAAACAACAACAAACTAACCCACCCACTGCTGTCCCACTGATTCTGACTCACAGTGACCCTATAGTTCTACCCTGAAGTAGAACTGCCTCATAGGGTTTCCAAGGCTGTAATTTTTACAGAAGAGACTGCCTCATCTCTTTCCTGTAGAGCACCTGATGGGTTTGAACTGCTGACCTTTTGGTCAACCACTGAGTACTTTAATTACTGCATCACTAGGGCTCCTTTTCATAAACCAAAGAGACTATTAAATGACTATTTGGTGAACTAAATATACTTATTTATTAACTGAGCCTCATATTATTTCTCTACCCTCGGGATTTAAATGTAGTATAGGGGAATAATGGAAAAAGTAAATTCAGTAATATTATATCCAAAATCCACTTTTTTAATATTAATCATGTTCCACCCCCCCACCCCCTGAAATAGTCTAAGTTTAAAATCACGTAATTTGGTCTTTTGATTATATTGTACAAAAAGCATAGCTGAACTTTTGTGCTTCCCACCCACCTACCTCACAGGATTTTCCCAGTAGGCAGAAGACATTGATTAACACAGTGAAAGGATGATGGCTAAAGATCAGAGATCATTCATAGATGGAATGTTGAACAGCCTAGTGATCAGTACTTCACTCAATTATGTTTGCAGTAATTAAGCTGTGCTGAAAGTATCCCCCTATTTCCCAAACTTTGGAACCCAAAACTGAGTAGCTATTTCTCTCCTCTGTACTTTCTGTTCTCTGCAAAAGCTGCTTCATAGCAGTGGTAGTTCCAGGGAGGGGGCTGTGGTGCACAGGCTTTGCTGTGGCTTTTCCTGCCCCCTCCAGCCCTTAAACATTGAGTTGTAAACCTGACATTCAGTTGTACACTGTCTCTTGTTTGTATCATTTTTGCTTTGCCTTAATGTATTTCTCAGCTCCAAGGCATGCCCAAATGCTAGATCATTTTAATTCTCTCTTTATCCATATTTTAATGAGTTTAAGCAAAGATAATCAAAAGAAACATTTATTTACACTTTTTACATATTCACTTTAACAAATGAGAGAAGGCGGCCTTGTGGCCTGTAACCCCTATACATCAGTATAATCATAATATATGCGAACTTCCGATCTCCTGACACTTTGCAGGGATCTGATGCTTTCACTCCTGGTCCTGATGTTTGATTTCTTGAATAGCCTTCTTGAAAATGACCTACACATGAAAAAGTAAATGATTGGATCCAGACACACATTGCATGCAGACAAGAAAAGTGTCATTTCTTTGCAGTAATACAGAATTTTATGTGCAGATTCATCTAAAAGCCTGTCCAAGTGACTAAACGTAAAAGGAATTCTGCACAAGTGATATGGTAGAAAGCACGTAAAAAATACAGCCACAACCACCCTAATACTTTGGTTATGCTTTCGCTTTCGGCTTGACTGACTTATGAATTGCCTGCTGGATTTATGGATGTACCTGGATATGGCTATGTAACATCCAATCAGTATCACCAGCACAGCCACAAACAAACAGCTGTTGACATAAATGACTGCTTTATGCCATTTGACTCCTAAGGGACTTTTAAGTTTCACGCAGTCATGAATGTTTTCCTTAGTCGGCTGACCATTTGTTAGGATGATGTTTGGCAAGGAGAGAACAGCCATGATCACCCAAACACAGACAGATAAGACCTTGGTAAAAGTTATACTGTACATACGAGAGTCCCCAAATGGCTTTACCACCTTCAGATAGCGATCAATGCTTATCAGCCCTAGAAACACGATGGAAGTGTACATGTTTGCATAAAATAAAACTGAAGTGTATCTACAGAGGATAAACTTGAAATACCAAGGTCCAAATCCTGCATCATGTACTATTCTAAAGGGAAATGTCAGTGTCATTATGAGGTCAGCAACCACTATGTTTTTCAGATAAAATATGAAGCTGGTTTTATTCCTGATGTGGAAGAAGATCCACACTGCTAGCCCATTCAGCAAGATGCTCGCTATGAATATAATGAGGTAAAGCACAGGCAAGACAATAGTGTCAAATTCATTGTGAGCGGTGGTGTTCTTTCCCGGTCCATCACTCATGTTACTTGGAGTGTTACTCCCTTGGCCGTGCAGCTCATGATCTGTAGGAGAAGTGGGAAGACATAACTTCAGTATTTTGTGTGCATGCACTGATTGGAACCTTGCTATTTGGAGTGAGTTTTAAAATGACATCAGTGATTTAAAGAGTCAGTTTAATGCATTATTAATGTTTAGAGTGGCCAAGGAATTGATCCCCTACCCCAACACACACATACACACATACATACATACACATGTGCACACCAAAGACCCTTAACCTTTTTATCTTTGACTGGTATGTATGTTTTTTAATGTTGAGTAAAAACTGGTATTTCTGATACCCTGTACCAACTTTTTGAAAATGAAAATAAATATACCACGGTACATCATCCTGATTTTTAATTCAGTATTTGATATTGTAGCAAAGAGAATCAACAAAATGTGGGGGTAAAAAATGGAAATTTCCTGTAACAAAAAAAATAAAATGGCTAGCACATGGTCATTGTTTTGGTATAGTCTTTGATACTGTCTCTAAACTATAGCTCCTCCCCTCCTCCCTCAGTTGCAGGCTGTATAGCGATGGAAAGAGTTCAGAAGGAGTAAAACTAGTGGATCTTTCTGAGTTTTTTTTTTTATCATTATTAATAAATGAAAAGGAAATCTACAGTCTTCCAAAGTTGTAGATTACAGAAGTCCTAGATAGAAGATGTGACTTGCTTAATTTATTAGGTAATTTTTCACATTAGTAGAATTTAATATAGGTAGCTGTGAAAGTTAATGCTGATTTTCAGAAAAACGTATATACCATAGTGTATTTTTCATTAAAATGTGTTTGTATAATTAAAAATATCCACAAATAAAGTCTTTCTCCTTAACCCAGTGAAAAATGCTAATTTTGTTTTCTTCTTACTATTATTGAACTATTTTCAAAGAGACAGTTTGTTAAAAATAAACGTGGGCTTGTACATTATTATGCATAAGTCTGAGTTACACCTATTGCATTTATTGTATGAATTTTTTAAAATTTTTTACTTCTTGGATATTTTAGTTCACGTTCCTGAAGAGCTACCCTCTATCATATAATCAGTGAAGTGGTTTATGGTTTAGGAGCACTTGATTTATGTGCCAGCTATGAAAATGGGCCTCTTAGTTCTCCTACTGCCAGGAGCGTAATTGATGGACAGCTCTTCAGTGCTCTGAAGCCATCCCCACTCAATTGCCAATGCTGTGCTTCCCGTGGTCAACTCCCAGCCACTACTGAGTGTGACTGGGATAGTGAGACAGGTCTTTCCTGAGAGAGAAAGGACTCCTCTGAGGAATAGTTTTGGCTGGAGGATTCCTTATCCATCTGTTCAAAGTGTTCTTAAAAACTGCCCTCAGTTTGACTCTTCCTGCTCAGCCTTCCTCCCTTCCCTCTCTCCTAGCTGAGGCCAGTGCTGCATTGTAGTTCAAGGGTGTCCTGGCCTCCTCTGGCTCCCTCTGCATTTTCCCTTGCAGGTTCTCCCTCCCCCTACCCCAAAATAAATCTATGGGCCCTTGAGTCATGTTTTGTTACCTGCTTTTTGGGGAACCTGAACTAACACAATTTACAAATTCATTTTTTGGATGCAAGGCTACAAGAAAAGCCATTTATACATTTTTACTATACACTAATTAATAATGTTTGTTACAATTATATTTAGTAATTATTTTATTTTAGAAGTAACAGCATGCATTTAACCCTCATTGCTCTACATAACAGACAGTTTAGTATATATTTTGGTTCCCTTCTTTGAAAAAATGAAACAGGGAAGATAGTTTTGATGATTATAATCCCAAAACAGGTTCTTAAATTGCTGGTTGAAATTTTAAGTGTAGGCTTTCTGTGAGTAACCATGTTCTCTTTCTAATTCTTTGCTTTTTATTCCCTGCTATGAGTGTTTTTATAAACTGGTTTTCCTGGCTTAAATATCCTTGCACAGGCTAGTAATTTATATCTGGACTAGCCTGTTACAAGACCCAGAGCATTATTAAGCTTTACAAGTTTAAAATGCCTGATTCAGCTACCATCTGTATTACTACTGCCAGTTTCAAACATTGTCTTGAACAGTATCCTTCAAATCTGTTTTGATTTGATGAAGTGTTGCAGTTTTGACTTTGTGCATCAGAAGATCCACATGAGCATTAACACCATGAGAAGGACCTTTATGTATGCAGTTTTAATGGGGCTAAGATATTTGTTTGAATTAATTTACCCAATTAAACTATTAGCAGTTACTACTTTCATCTAACCTAGAATAGAACCTTAATGGAAGCAGAGTGAAGGCAAGTTTAGTTTTTATCGAGATAAAAGGTCCAGCTGTGGGGTACAGCCTGCCTGAAAAGGAGCAGTTACATCATCTCCTGAAATGATGGCTCATCAGCCAATTGCTTTTCAAAACAAATGTAAATAGAATAATTCACTAGCTATAGCATAGTAGAAGGCGTCCTAGTGGTATAGTGGTTAGGGTCTTGGCTGCTAACAGAAAGATTGGTGGTTTAAACCCATCAGCCACTCTCTGGAAGAAAGACGTGGCAATCTGCTTCTGTAAGGATTTCAGGTTTGGAAATCCCATGGTGCAGTTCTCCTCTGGCCAGCGCGATCTCTGTGGGTCGGAATTGGCTCGATGGCAGTGGGAGTATACAAGACATACTAGGCATTCAACCCTTTGTGTGGGCTTGTTGAATCTGCCCACAGAAAGCTGTGCATATCCACTGTGAAGTGGAAGAACCCATACTCCCAGAGGGTGGGTAGAGATTGTGTGTCTCTTCAGTATATCATTATAATATTTTAAAGTTTTAATTATATGAACAGACACTCTTATTAAATGATGTTTACTTAACAATTACGATTATTACTAAAGATAGAGTCTTAATTCAGAATGTCAGAAAGTCTTTGTTTGTACTCTGTGTCTTATAAGTAAAAAGTATCAAGTAAGAGTGCCTCATTCCACAGTGGTTATTGAACTGTTTTGTGGCTCTGAGATGGTATGGTTTTCAACTTGTTAGTCGTGTTACTTCACAGTATTTGCTTCCTTAGTTTGTGTTTGGGATTAACATTTTGGAATATAGGACTTATTAATTCTATGGGATAGGCCTGAACCCAGTTATTACTTCATTAACAAATTCCACATTTACAATGCAGCTTAAACAAATCGGTGGTTAAAGTCTGCTATGGGTTATTTTGTGAAATAATAAGGTGTGGATTGCTCTGGAAGGCTCACAATTTAATAAAGAGAATTTTGTTTGATTGATTGGATTCTTCAGAATTAGGTGTAGGTCACGTTCTTTTCTGCCAGCCCCATCATTTCTTCTTTTCTCCATGATTGACCCAGGTTTTCCCAGAGCTCCCAGGCATTCTCGGAAGTACTTCCCCATGCAGTGTTTCTATTCAGACCATTAAAAGGAAACAGCCTTCTTTACCTTCTTTACCAGGCAGTTTTATCATATTGTACTTCTTTGCCCATGAAGAACTTGGCCAAGTTAGGGGTCATTTTCCATGACAATAGATTTATGATTCAATTAATAAAAATTAAAAGTTGTTTTTACAGTGTACATACTGTATTCTCACATACTCCTTGTTCACTAGGTTGTTATTCCCAGTATCATTTAGCAAGGACTTGATACAGAGTGATAACTGAAGTAAAAAAATCTCTTTTATTTTTCCCTCTTAACTCCTGTGACATCAAATTGACAAATGTGAAGACTTAAGAACTCTCCACCACCACCCACCCAGTGCCCTAAAGTTTGGATCCGGATGATAGTAACCCTTCTTTGGGTTTCCGAGGTGGTATCACTATGGAAGTAGATTGCCCAGTCTTCCTTCTGAGTAGCAGCTGGTGTGTTTGAACCGCCAGCCTTCTGGTTAGCAGTCAAATGCCTTAGGCACTACGCTACCAGAGCTCCCTTAAGAACTCTAGTTTCATAGTAAATAGTTTTGTGCTGTATGTGTGAAGTTGGTGTTGTCCGTGTGTTGTATGTATGTGTGTGTGTGAGCTGCATGGGCTTTCTAGCCAGATAAAAGCACTACTTGTGACTTTCTAAATGTAAATAAATTAAAAGGCAATTCAAAGTTTAGTTTCTCTGTATTGGCCACATTTAAGTAGCTCAGTAACCACATGTGGCTTACCTGGACAATACAAATTGAACATTTTCATCATTGCAGAAAAGCCTGTTGGATAGAGCTAGTTTAGTAACTTAATGGCTTTGTAAAATGGAATGAATGATAACCATTTTGTTGGATCTCCTAAGAGATTCCTTGTAAACATTATTTCTTGCACAATATCTGGTGTTTAGTAGATGTCATTCTATAACAGAAGGCATCAGTTACAATCTGTCTTATTAATTGCAGCCACATTGTGAATGATAGAAAAAGTGCTGAAGAATCTTGGTAATTTTGCCATCAGTGATTTTGCTCCATCCAGTGTTGCTCATTGGACATGTTATCCTTTGACACAGAATGTGGAAGTGTGAACAGTGTGTCACTGTTCTGCCTGCCAGGGTGGGCATGAAATACAAAAGTGCAAACTGGGGGTGTCACTGCCATGGCACAGCTGCCCTTGGGTGATCCTTTTCTAGACAGTTACCCAGTAGAGGAGACAGATGTTGTCTCTGGCTTCTAGGAAACATCAGTGAACCTTGGTTTAGAATATTCAATCTGGAAAGTACTATGTACTTTAGTTTGAGTTAAAAAAGATAATAATTCTCAAATTTTTTTGGTCTAATTCTAATATGAATTTTAGAGGCGGCCTCTAGATAAGCAATAATGTTTAAAAGTAAGTCACAGCAAGTTAAATTGAGCTCAGAAACACAATCCTGTGTGCTTGCTGTTTTAGACTTAATCGAAGGCAAGGCTAAATGCTGGTTTATTTTGTTACTTTGTTCTGTGGCTGTTAAAACCCACTGCCATACAGTTTAAATAACAGTTATTGATCAAATAAGATTTTCTTTGCATCTTTTGCTATGGTTTTACCTGGTAGTTTTGTCAGTGTCAAGTTGAGCCCCATTCTTCAGTTGTGATGGATTGTAGGCAAAAATGCGTGTCAGGAAACACTTGGAGACAGTTGAAGCTTTGGTTCAGCATAGGTTATTCCTTGTTTAATTTCTGGGGGAAAAAAGGAAAAAAATTGGGAAAGAATTTGAATGTATAATATTTTGATATTTAAAAAAAAAATGTATATGTGTCCAAGATTCAGAAAATGCATATACTGTTTGGATATGAACACCTATATACCACACAGACCCACTGAACCCACTGCCATTGAGTCGATTCTGACTCATAGTGACCCTCATTGGGTTTCCAAAGCAGTAAATCTTTACAGAAGTAGATTGTTTCATCGTTTTCCCATGGAGCAGCTAGTGGGTTTGAACTGCCAACCTTCTGGTTAGCAGTCAGATGCGTTAGGCACTTTGCCACCAGAGCTTCTTGTATACCACACAAGAGGTGCCTATTTCTGTGCCCTCTTTCAGCCTGCACTAAGTTGGGACCGTTTTTGTGGAAGTTATGCTCTGGATGACAGTGACCTTGGGAAAGTTACTTAAATGTCTTTGTGACTCAGTGTCTTCATCTCTAGAATGAAAATCATAATAATAATCCCATAGGATTATAGTAAGGATTATGTGAGATAATAAATAAGGATCTCTACTGGTGTAGTGTATAAAGCATTCAGCTGTTAATCAAAAGGTTGGCTGTCCAACCCACCAGCTACTCCTATAAAAATTTATAGCCCTAGAAACCCTATGAGGCAGTTCTACTCTGTCCTGTAGAGTCACTATGAGTTGGAATCAACTTGATAGCAATGGGTTTATGATAATACATAAGGCAGGTAAGAATAACTGCCTTAAAAAATGCACTCAGTAAATGTTGGCTTATACTGCCTTCTCATATCTACTTCTGCCTGCACTGAACAAGGAGCAAAGTGGGAAAATCCCACCATTGTTGCTAACTGGGTGATATGGGTCGGCATGTGTCCAATTCTTAAGGCGTACAAATGGATCCAGTCCTCACCTTCCCACTACTTCTTCCTCCTCCCCAGCCACTCATGTGACACACTCTTTCCCCTACCCTAGCCACCCAGAGCTGGATCTGAGCTCACAAGTTAGAATGATAACTTCTTTTACACTACCCAGATAGGTAGGCTCCAGCCCCTACTAGCTCTCAACTGCCCCTTTGGGATTGTTAATTTGCTCATTGACCCCAGAATCTCATGAAGAGCATACTAACAGCTACAACTTTATCACGACTGTTCTGGTTACCTAGTGCCGCTCTGACAAGAATATAACACAAGTGGGATGGCCTTAACAAACAGGAGTTTATTCTCTCACAGTTTGGAGGCTTTAAGTCTGAGTTCAAAGTGCCAGGCTCTAGGGGCTGTGTGAAAGCCCCTCGAGCTTGGACTTCAGCTCTGCCTCTTGCTCCCAGCCCACTGAAGCTAGAGGCATCTCTTCACTCAGGCAGCTACTGGCTGCTGAGGCTAACAAGCCCAAGGTCGACAAATAAAAAGGCACAGTCCTGAAGTTACCAAACCACACAGCAGGCCATTATCTTAAGTCCATTGTAAGTCCCAAGGTCAACAGAGCACAGCAGGCTCCATGGCTAAATTCAGGGTCTAAGCGTGCCATGAGCAGAGACTGTTCCCAAGGCTTCTCCTTATATACAGGAAGCAGACGACATCGCAAAGGTAGCTACTCAGGTGCTTGTTGTAGATTCCACTATGGAGTTGATTGTCAGTCTCATCATGAGGAATAACTACCACCAGCTGCCCAGCCACTCAACCAGGCATAGCCAAGTTGACACATAAATTTAGCTACCACAACAACCAAAAAGGATACAAAGAAAGAGACCTAAGAGGTGCAGTCTGCGAGGGGTCACAGTGCTTAGTTTCCACATCCCAAAGAGGGATGTGCTACCCTCTCCCATGCATGGTCACCAACACAGAAGCTCCACTGAGCCTTAATGCTTTAGGGGTCTTGTCTGTTCCCCATGTGATAGTGATAGATTACATCATGATTCCTGAGGCTTAGTCAGCATTGGCCCCCAAGTAGTCCCTTTTGGTCTTGTTTACTTCTTTTCCTTAGCCTTATTTGGCTCCAAAGAAGCAAGAGCAAAAGCAAAATTGTTTTCTTCAAGGTGATGCCACACTTTGCATTAACTCATTCCTTTTTTTAAAAAAAATATTATAATATTTAGTGGAGATATATTGTTGAGGATGTCCCTGGGTAGTGCAAATGGTTAACGCACTTGACTGCTAATTGAAGGGGTGTATGTTCAGGTCCATTCAGAAGCTCTTCAGAAGAAAGACCTGATGATTTACTTTTTAAAAATCAACCGTGGGAAACTAAGAAGCACAGTTCTACTCTAACACATATGGGGTATCCATGACTTTGAATCAATTAAATGGAAATTGGTTATATATAAATGAATGTATATATAATTGCACTTGTGATCCACCACTAAGTTGAATATTGGCAGTTGGAACCCACCCAGTGGCTCCAGGAAACAAAGGCCTGGCTAACTGCCTCTGTAGATATTACAGCCAAGAAAACCCTGTGGAGCAGTCCGACTCTGTGATCCATGGTGTCTCTATGAGTCAGAACCAGCTCAACAGCAACGAGTTTATTGTTTTCTAATTTACAACTGGATTTTTTTTAAAGATTTAGCACTGATATGTATATGATATATTCAGGAGTGTTTCTAAACTCAAGTGCATTGAACATCCCAATGTTGGTAAACTCTGGGGTTCTAGTTCTGGCTTTACACTAAACAGGTGTGTGACTTCCACAAGTTACTTGACTGTTACGAATCTGAACTGAAACCAATCCACTACCGTCAAGTTGATGGGAATTCATAGTAACCCTACAGAACCCCCGTACAGAGCAGAACTGCCCCATGGGGTTTCCAAGGCTGTAAATCTTTAAGGAAGACAGACTGCCTCATCTTTCTCCCATTGAGCAGCTGATGGGGTTGAACTGCTGATGATTTGTTAGCAGCCAAATGTTTTAACCAGTGTGCTGCTAGAGCTCCTGGATTTGGACTAAAGGCTCTATTAAATCTGTATCAGGAAGGAAATTCACATGAGTTTATTAGCCCTTCCCCAAACATGGATTCACATGTAAGAATTTAATTATCATTTGAATGTTTAATGAGCCCCTGTATTTATATATGTATATATATATTTCTATACTATATTCCATTCAACATGAAAGTTTGACCAGGAAGGATAATTAAACTGGGTTTCAGTGAGTGGTGTGTGGTTTTGGCTAAACACCTTAGCCTTTCTGAGCTTCACGTTTGTCATAACATTTTAACAAAGATTCACTGAGATTATATGTGTATGTGATATTGAATACTATAAAAACATAATTTTCTCCACTTCTTCTTTAGCAGCCCTGTCTATTCTGTTTCCTGGCTTTCCTCAGGTGTTGACTTAGGAGAGAAATCCTGAGAACAGTTTTTGGAAAGCTAGCTGCTAAAGTAAAATGTGCTTAGGGAAGATAGTTTAGTATAGGAGAAGTCACTGTGTTTCTCATGAAATGAAACTGTGTGGAACTTTCATGTCCCCTCACTGATGTTGCTCTTAAACCATACAGCTGCCAAGAGAACCCAAGTAACCTTGCACACTGCCCCCACACCCCACCCCAGTACAAAGCAAACTTCTGGCTAGCATAAGCAGTTACTTTTGTCTCTGCACATTTTCTGAGTCAGCAGGTAAAGAATACATTGAAGGCAAAAGTGTATGTAGGAATTTTCCAGAAAGTAGAGGATGTGTTATTTCTCTTTCTGCTGTTGGGTCTGTTACTTCCCAACTATCATATGTAGTTAAGGATTTGGTTGGTGATGGATACAATATATTAACAAATTTTCAGTAATTTTTTTCTCTCCCTCAAATCAGCTCTTTTCGAAACGTAGATGTTCTATCCGTCCCTTAGTGAGACCTGGTGCCACAGTGGTTAAGTGCTTGAATGTAACTGAAATGTCTGTGGAAGAAAGATGATGTGGCTGTCTGCATCTGTAAAGATTTACAGCCTTGGAAATCCTTGAGGCCAGTTCTACTCTGTCCTATAGGGTCACTGTGAGTCAGAATTGACTTGATGGCAGTGGATTTTTGTTTGTTTTTTTATCCATGCCGTGCTTTGCGTCTCTATGGTATTTGGTGTATAGCAGGCCCTTAAAAGGTGTTTTTTTAGTTAATGGAATATTAGGTGATGATTTAAAAAACCAAACTAAACCATTTGCTGTTAAGATGATTTTGATTCATAGTGACCCTGTATAGGACAGAGTAGAGCTTGCCGCATAGGCACTACACCACCAGAGCTCCTTCCATAGGGATTTCAAGGCTATAGTATTTATAGAAGCACACTGCCACATCTTTCTTCCACTGAGTGGTTGGTGCATTTGAACCACTGACCTATCAGTTAGCACTCTTGTGCCACCAGGACTCCTTCTCACTCACTGCTGTGGAGTCAGATCTGACTCATAGAGACCCCTCCTTGGGTTTTCGAGGTGGTGTCACTACCAAAGTAGATTGCTCAGTCTTTCTGAGGAGTGGCTGGTGGGTTTGAACCTCCAGCCTTCTGGCTAGCAGTCAAATGCCTTTAGGCACTACTCCACCAGAGCTCCTCAAGGCAGTGATTTAAAAACCCCAAACCACTGCTATCTAGTTGATTATGACTCATAGCAACCCTTTTGTGACCCCATAGGGCAGAATAGAACTGCCCCTGAAAGGCTTCCAAGGCTGTAAATCTTTAGGGAATTAGACTGCCTCTTCTTTCTCCTTGAGACTGGCTGGTGGGTTCAAACCACTAACTTTTTGGTTAGCAGCCAAATGCTTTAACCACTACGCCACCAGAGCTCCTTTACCAAATACCAAACTCATTGCTGTCAAGTTGGTCCCATCTCATAGAGAACCCCCCCTTGGGTTTAAACAATGATTAAATCCACTGCCAATGAGTCGCTTCTGATTTATAGCAACCCCCATTGCACTTCCAAAGCTGTAAATCCTTACAGAAGTACATTACCCCATCTTCCTCCCATAGGGCAACTGGTGGGTTTGGACTGCTGACTTTTTGGTTAGCAGCCAAATGTCTTAACCATTATGCCACCAG